CCACCTGGCGACTCATATGGGATGCAGGGCAGCGTGAAGGAGGTAAGGGGGTACCCAGTGGCCAGGTCGGAGGGGGGCCAGGTTGGACAGGCTCAGTGTCCTTCCTAGGCTGACCACACCATGGCCTGCCCCTACCTGTTCAGGTGCTGAAGACGGTGACCAACAACCGGGACAAGGGGCGGACCAACCACAGTGCCTTCCTCTTCGGCTTCGGGGATGGGGGTGGTGGCCCCACACAGACCATGCTGGACCGTTTGGAGCGGCTCTGCAATACAGACGGGCTGCCCAGGTCAGCCTGGACTGCCAGCAGCCCAGCTTGAGCTCAGCATCCCCCTGGCCCTTGCCTTGAACCCTTCTCCTGCTTATGTATTGGGCCCAACCCTCCCCCTGGACCTTGTTCTCCTCCAACCCTGGACCATTGGCTCCTCCAGATTTCTACCCTGAGAGTGGCGTCAGGGACAAAGCTGGGGGTGGGAGGGGCTTGAGCCCACTAGAGAGCAGCTCTCGTGGGTCTCCAGACCCAGCTTCATGTACACGGGGGCTCTCTGGCTGGGGAGCCCCCTGAGAATGGGCAGTTCCTCTCTGTTGGGGCTGCATTTCTTGTCTGTGCTGCATAGAGCAGGGGGAGACGCAGGCCCATGACCTCCCTTAGGGTACAACTGTCTTCTCCGGGGCGGCTCTTCTCGGAGCTGGAGAGCGATGCAGGGCAGCTGTGCACGTGGGTCGGGGAACTCTTCTTGGAGCTGCACAACGGCACCTACACCACGCACGCCCAGGTCAGGGACCGGATGCAGAGCTGGTCAGAGGACGAGACAGGGACAAATGGGGTGTAGATGGAGCCCAGCCCAGACCCGGGGGAAGAGGCTCTTGTTCTCAGGGCTGCAGGAGCTCAGAGGAGAGAAGTGTGGGAGTTGGGTTGGGCAGGAAAGCTGCTTGGAGGAGACAGGACTCAGGCATATGGGGCAGGTCACTCACAGAGACTTTATCCAGGAAGGCCTGGGAAGCCATCAAGGGTTCTGAGCAAGGGAGGGCTTTGGAAGGTGTCTTGGGACACTTGAGCAGACTCCAAACTGGTCCCTCCATCCTGGGCCCAGATCAAGAAGGGGAACCGGGACTGTGAGCGGATCCTGCATGACGTGGAGCTGCTTAGCAGCCTGGCCCTGGCCCGCAGCACCCAGTTCCTGTACCCAGCTGTCCAGCTGCAGTACCTTTGGAGGTCAGCTCAGCTCTGCCCCTGCTGCCCACCTGGCCTCTCCCCACAGACACCCCTGCAGCTGCCCCTCCCACCTTCATTTCTCCTGCTTACCCCCTACCCCCACCCCCTAAGGCCTCCCTCATACTTGTCTGTGCCCCCTGCAGGCTCCTGCTCCTGAACCAGTTCCATGACGTGGTGCCTGGAAGCTGCATCCAGCTGGTGGTGGAGGATGCCATGAGCCACTATGAAGGTGAGGCTGACAACAGGCCCTCCATGTTCTCTAACACCCAGGGCCTAGCCAGAGTGTCCCCTATGGGACACCCAGGCATCCCAGACCCATGGCCTCCACCCATGACCAGCCAGTCTCTCCTCAGACATCCGTTCCCATGGCAATGGACTGCTCAGTGCCGCAGCCGCAGCCCTGTGTGCTGGGGAGCCAGGTCCCGAGGGCCTCCTTGTTGTCAACACACTGCCCTGGAAGCGCACAGAAGTGTTGGCCCTGCCGAAGCCTGGCGGGGCCCACACCCTAGGTATGAGCTAATGGGGAGACTGCTACTGTGGCAGACCGAGAGATGGGGAGTCTCCCAGACTGAGGGCCCACATCTTCCCACCCTGCCCCACCCTGAGCAAGGTTCCTGGGAGGTCAAGGAGGCTGTGCTGATGCCCAGGCCTCATCTCCAGCGCTGGTGACAGTGCCCAGCATGGGCTATGCTCCTGCTCCCGCCCCCACTTGCCAGCAGCCCCTGCTGCCCCAGCAGCCTGTGTTCGTAGTACAAGAGGTAAGTCCCACAGGGCCCACTGGGGCGGGGGCTGTCCTGGGCTGTTCCCTAACTACATGGGGGTTTTGGGCACCCCCAGCCTGGAGGGCTGGTAGAGAGGGGCTGGTGGTGGGGAGAGGGGTGCTGGTTGTGAGAATCCCCTGAAGGCTCATTCTCAAGGCCCCCTCCCACCAAGACTGATGGTTCTGTGACTCTGGACAACGGCATCCTCCGGGTGAGGCTGGACCCGACTGGCCGCCTGACATCCCTGGTCCTGGTAGCCTCTGGCAGGTGCCAGCCCCTCACTGCCCTCTCCCAGTGCCTGACAGGTGGATCCCAGACCCTGTTCTCTGTCCCCTGGCCATAGTACTGCCCACAGCAGCCGACCAGTGGCTCGGGGCTGGGACCCACACATGGAGGGAAGGCTGGGCTAGGAGTCCCCTGTCTCCTGGGCTTAGTCACCCTGCCCCACCCCTTCTTGAGCAGCCAAGGAGATCGAGGTCATCTAGTTGTAAAACACAATCCCCATGTCCTTGCAGAGAGGCCATTGCTGAGGGTGCCGTGGGGAACCAGTTTGTGCTGTTTGATGATGTCCCCCTTTTCTGGGACGCGTGGGACGTCATGGACTACCACCTAGAGACACGGTGCGGGGTGGGGAGCAGAATTAGGGGTGGGATGGGAACACAGGCCTATCAGATCCCCTCCAGCCTGCCCTGGCTCAGCGCCTCCCACCCCCCCTCCCACAGGAAGCTGGTGCTGGGCCAGCCAGGGACCCTGGCGGTAGGCACTGAGGGTGGCCTGCGGGGCAGTGCCTGGTTCCTGCTGCAGCTCAGCCCCAACAGCCGGCTCAGTCAGGAGGTGGTGCTGGACGTTGGGTGCCCCTATGTCCGCTTCCACACTGAGGTAGCAGGGGGGCAGGGTGGTGGGTATCTCCCTCAGCTGCAGCTGGTGGGGAGGTGGCCGGCACCAGGCCCACATGTCTCCCTGCACTTCCCCCCACCCTCTACCCTGCCTGCAGGTACACTGGCAGGAGACCCACAAGTTCCTGAAGGTGGAGTTCCCTGCCCGTGTTCGAAGTCCCCAGGCCACCTATGAAATCCAGTTTGGGCACCTGCAGCGGCCCACCCACTACAACACCTCTTGGGACTGGGCTCGCTTTGAGGTCTGACATTGGTGGGAGTGGACTCATCCCTGGCTGGGGAGAGACAGGCTGTATGGTATGGAGTGATGAGGATGACGATAACGATGATCAGCATTCGCTAGTTCCTAACGTGTGCCAGGCATTGTGATAAACGCTTTATGTTTCGTTTAATACTCATGACTCTTTGGTGGGGTGAGTACTGCTAATCCCCATTCCACAGATGAGGAAACTGAGGCTTAGAGGCTGAGTGAGGTACCCAGGGTCTCCTGTAGATTGTGGTCCCAGCGCTTGTTCTCACTTCAGTAAGAGGTGCTATGGAGACTGGGAGCACAGGAAGGGGTGTGGGCCACCAAGTGGGTCTTGGGTCTGCCCTCCAGGTGTGGGCCCACCGCTGGATGGATCTGTCGGAGTGTGGCTTTGGGCTGGCCCTGCTGAATGACTGCAAGTACGGTGCCTCCGTGCGTGGCAACGTCCTCAGCCTGTCGCTGTGAGTGGGTGCCCAGGAGCCCCGGGGCTGGCACGGGGCGTGGATCTTCCCAAGCCAGAACTCCAGCAGCTCCAACCCAGCTCATCCCTCTCCACCCCAGCTTGAGAGCTCCTAAGGCGCCCGATGCCACTGCTGATATGGGGCGCCACGAGTTCACCTACGCGCTGATGCCGCACAAGGGTGAGTGGGGAGACGGTGGGGCCCTCCTGCAGCCTGGGCTCCTCTCTGCCCTTCCCTGAGCCTCAGTTTCTCCGATGGTCAGTGGGAAAACCTCAGCATCACACCTCCCCCTCTACGGGTGTGGGAGGGGAGCCCCCATTTTCCCATCCGTACCCCAGGCTCCTTTCAGGATGCTGGCGTCATCCGTGCTGCCTACAGCCTCAACTTTCCCCTGCTGGCGCTGCCCGCCCCTGGCCCGGCGCCCGCAGCTGCCTGGAGCGCTTTTTCCCTGTCCACGCCCGCCGTGGTCTTGGAGACCGTCAAGCAGGCAAGGGGACAGGGCCGGGGCAGTGGGTGGGGCGTGGTCCCGAGCACGGGCCGCCCCGGCCCCGCCCACCGCCCGCCTCCCTCCCCAGGCTGAGGCCAACCCACTGAGCCGCACGCTGGTCTTGAGGTTGTACGAGGCTCACGGCAGCCACGTCGACTGCTGGCTGCACACGTCGCTGCCGGTTCAGGAGGCCGTCCTGTGAGTAGAGCGCCGAGCAGGGGTGGGGGTTGGACCTGGACCCTTGCGGGGCCCTTACGGCTCCTCCTGTTCTCCAGCTGCGACCTTCTGGAGAAGCGCGACCCAGCTGGCCACCTGCCCCTGCGTGACAACCGCCTGAAGCTCTCCTTTTCTCCCTTCCAAGTGCAGTCCCTGCTGCTGGTGCTGCAGCCCCCACTGGACTGAGCCCCTGGGCGGGTTTGTTTGTAGAAGGGTTTGGAGCTCATTTCTGCTTCCCAGCCCCAAGCAAGAACCAGTCACCCCTGAGCCAGTGTGCAATAAATCTTTGGATTTGGGAGGGTTTTTTTCCAGGCATCTGAGGGCAGGGGCAAGGTCGAAGTTTACCTGTGACGGCACGATCTCCGTTGCAGCCCCCATGAGAGATTGGGGGGTCTCAGGTGACCACAAGTTTAAGAGGTCATGAGGGAAGCCTCACCTGTGTCAGCAGGTGCAGAGGGCCTGGGGGTAGGGAGGCCGGGAGGGTGGGTTCTGGCTGCCCCCACTAGGCTTGGGGCACTGACTAGTAAGGGCCAGGAATGGGGGCAGCCACGGGCCCTGAGGAATCCAGGACTGGAGGGCTGTGGGGCCTGCCCTACTCCGGCCAGGGTCTCGGCGCCACCTCCCAGGGGCTGTCCCTGGCAGAGGCAGACTATCCTCTGTGAGCCACGGCCTTGAGGACTGGGACAGGGGCTCAGTTTCCCTGTTGAGGAGGTGGCCTCCCATCTTCAGGGCTAGGTAGCAGGCCCTCCCAGTCTGGCCTTCCCAGACCTGCAGCCCACCCAGAAGTTCCTAGGAGTTCAACTTTATCAGTTTATTTTTAAAAAACAGAGCATTTTTCACATCATCTTTAAAAATGGGGAAGGTGGGGTATATTTAAAAGCATCACAGTTGTGCAGGGACAGCCACGGGGCCTGCTTCAAGGAAGCCGGACAGATCCAGGGCCAGGCAGCAGGAAGGGAAGGATGCAAGCAAGGCGACCCTCCTGCTAAGAGGCTGAGGTCCTCTCTGGCTCTAAGGATGGGGTGTCAGTTTTTGTCTTCTGGGGTCTCCGGCGGCCTAGGGGGAGGACAGAGGTGGGATGACTAGCTCAGGGGGACCCAGGCTGAGGACTGCCCTGACAGCCTCCCTTCCCCTCAGCTCCCACCCACACTGCCGTCCCATCCTCTCCTGAAGAGCCAGTATTTGAGGTCCCCCCCGCCCCAGAGGAGGATGCTGAGGAAAGCCCACCTGAGGTTGCTGCTCGCCCCCTCCTCTTCCCTTTCTTAGGGATTCTGGGGGCTCTGTGGTCCTGTTGGAGGCTGGTCCGCTCGAGCTCCTGGGCTGCAGGCTGCTTGGGAAGGTCCCTCCGTGCTTTTCGTGCCCTGGAAGGGGCCTTGCTTGGAGGTGGAGGGTCCTGGGTGGAGTAGACATGGGTTCCCGAGGGGCTCAGAAAGGAGTTCAGAGGTTGGTTAGGACCCACCACCCTGCCTTTGTCAGTGGAAGGCAGCTGCCCAAAAGCATGGCTGGAGAGGTACAGCCCGGGCAGGAGAGACTGCAGGGGAGGGGCTGGGGGCAGGGGACACACCTCCTTTCTGTCCTCACGGCCTGGCTGTGTTTCCTTGGATTTCTTCTTGCGGGACTTGCTTCCTGCAGGACACTGACACGTGTTGGAGGGGCCTATGGCTTCAGCCCCCTTTCTCCAGACTCACTCTGCCAGGGTGACTCTCGGGTTGGGGTGGGGATGGGGATGGAGGAGGGCGCTGTGGCCCTTGCAGGCAAAAAATCCTTCCTGCGCCTAGCCTTTTACATTTCAGGGTAGCTTACCTTTGGGTACCAACGGTCCAGGATCCCCCTAAAGTGGAATGGGGAGAATTGAAGCATTACCCTGGGCTTGGGCAAGACTCACACCTATCCTCCAGATCCGTGCAGCCCCTCCCCAGGAGGCCTCTGACCCCCTCCAGGTCAGTGCTGACATCCTTGGGTGGCTCTACCAGCTGGAACTTACAGGAAGGGAGAGCATAGCATGGGGAAGGCCTAGACCCCCAGGAATAGAGGGGCCCTCGGGGGGCCTAGGCAGGCCCTGGACATCCCCACCTGGGGGATATCCCAGCTGTGACCCCAGGTCTTCCCACCCACCAGCTTTCCTGGGGGCTTTTTCTGCCTGTATGAGCAGTAGGGCCCCCACCTGGAACCAGATGGTGCGGCCATGCCGGTCCCGCAGGGAGCTCATGCCCGAAACGCCATAGCACCGCAGCCAGGCTCGAAAGGTGGTAAAGTCCTCCTCCCCGCCCTCCGGCCCGTAGCCTTTGCCCCCTGTGGGACAGAGGAACCAGGCGGAGGCCGAGGAACAGGCTCAGAGTGGGAGGAGGAGGAGCCTGGCTAGACCTGGCCCAGACCTCAGCTACACAAGCTGATGGACTGAGTCGGGGGGCCAAGGCTCTCCCTCCCCCAGCTGTGTGACCTCGGGCTGTTGTCTTCCCTTCTCTAGGCCATGGCTTTCCCATCCTGGAGTAGGGCTAAGAATCGTTGCCCTACCTGCTTCATGGGCAGCTTGGAGGACTCCCACATACCTGGGAAGTGAGGCGGCTAGTCCACTTTCACAACTGGGACTACAACCTCTCATTTCCCAGGCGGGGAACCAGGCCCAGAGAGGGGCAGCCACTGCCCGCATACTGGATCACACAGCACACCCAGGCAGAGGTAGTTGGCCATCTTTGCCCTGCCCGACCCTCACCCAGCTGGACCACTTCCTTGGGCACTGAGTGGCACAGCTCCAGCAGGTCCGGGTTCTGCAGCTTGGCCTTGATCTTCTGGCTCAGGGTCAGCTCTGGGCTCTAGGAAGGGGCAGGACCAGGCTGTCAGCATAGGTGGAGCTACTCAGCCATCGGGCAGCAGACTCCCCTCTGAGCTCAGCAGGACCTCAGAGCCAGTTCATACTCCGTCCCCCCTCCCCACACACACTGTAAAGAAGGGGAAACTGAGGCCCAAAGCCAAGAAAGGACCTGCTTGAGGCCACATAGGTGGTCCGTGGCAGAGCAAAGTTGGAGACATCTGACTCAGCACATACCCTGGCAGCCCCGGTTCTGACATGCCTGGGCCAGCACACATGCTATGTGCGCGGGCCTCCCGGTACCCACCGGCCTGCGCTGCTGCAGGGCCTCGAGCACCGTGCGGGCCTTCTCAAAGGGGGGGATCCTCAGCCTGGAGTGGGGTGGGGGAGAGGGAGCCATGCTGAATGGGGAAGATGTGGGTACACCCTGACCCATCCCCGTGCTCGTGCCCACTGCCTGCACTGCTGACCGATGCAGGATCTCTGCCCGCAGATAGTTGCCAATGCCATTGAAGAACCTCTGGTCCAGGAGGGCCTCGCAGATCGGCTGGTCAAAGGCTTTGTCTGCTAGGTTTCGCAGCACGTTCTCCCTGAAGGGACACAGCTCTGGTGTGGGAGGCCCACCCCGCACTCTGGTTTGTTCCACAGCCCATGCCTGTGCTGGTAGGAGCAACCAACCCCACAACGTTATTAACTCCCAGGTGCCTCCAGCACAGGTGGTGTGATAAGCAGACGGAAAAGGGAGCTGGGGGAGACCAGCTCCTGGTTACAAGAGGAGGGAAACCGGGGAGTGATGTTTTGGCAACTAGAACCTCAGTTTTCTTACCTATCAAATGGGAACAACAATATGAGATTTTAATTCATTGGGAAGGGTGAAAAATACCAATCAAAAGCAGTGTGTTCAAGGGAACCCTCCTAAGTCTGTGTATGTTGTGTGTGTATCCCCAGAGTGCCTCAGACTCCTCAGGACACTTGAGAACAAGGTGATCACAGGATTTCAGGTGTGCCTACAGCCTGGAACTCCTTGTTTAAGACCCCTGGTGGGTTAGAGAGCATCTGTGGATTTGACATTGGTGGGTTCAACTCTCCTCAAGAGCTTGAAGACTGTCTTCAAGGAGGCTGGCGTGAGCACTGCAAAGTGGGCGTGTGGGGCATGTCCTGGTGAGTGAGAGGCCAACAAACACCTCCAAGTGTCACATGTCTGCTTGGCTCCAGGTAGAGGAGATGGACCTCACTTCTTTGTGGCGAAGGGCTGGGAAGGAGGACAGTATGAAGTGGGGGAGGGGGAGCCCAGAAGACAGAGTTTTGGGGTAAAGATATGGGTGGAAGTTTAGCCTGAGGCAGCTGGGATCCCTGAGGGAAGCTGATCCCCTGGGCTCCCAGCTTTAGCACCAAGAACACCTGTTTCCACTTGAGCCAAATGCTTGAGAGAAACTTCAGAGCCAGCTGGGAAAGAGTTAACTTATGGCATGATTCCTCAGAACCCAAACCATGGACAGAGGTTTCCCTGAGGATGCACTTGGGGTTCCTGCTCTGGCCCATCCTGAGGGGGAACCAAGTCTCCTAAGGGCCAAGTGAAGGCAGAATGTCACGTGAAAGAACTGGCCAAGTCCACCTCCAGACCTTTGCATTTGTGATTCTTGCCAGTTTGAATTGCTTTTCCTCTACAGCTTTGTACGGCTGGCTTCTCATGAATCACGCCTCAGCTCAAACGTCCCCTCCCAAAGTGCCCTCCACCCCAAAGTTGTTCTCTGCTTGCTCCACTTGTTGGATTTTTCTTCAGTCATGGGTCTGTTTGAGCTCACCTTGTTTCCTTGTCCCGTCCCCCCCCCCCATGTGAACTTTAGCTCTGGAAGCAGGGACCAGTCCACTGTTCACTGCCGTGTTCCCAGCACCTAGAGCGGGCCCTGCCCAAAGTGGAGACAGGTGCATGTCTCTTTAGAGGACAGGAAGTGGCTGGCGCTGTGCCATCTTCCGTGACTGCATCACATCCCAGGTGGGGCTGTTACCCTTCCTGTCAGAAGGAGACAGAGGAGCCACAGGACACAGACCAGTGGGCAGGCTGAATGTGGGAGACCACAAAACCTGATTCAGAAACCATGTCACTAGGCAGTCCCCTCCCACCCCCTTGAAACAATTCCTTCCTGCTCAGCCTCACTTTTAAGCGTGTTGTAAGTCCTTCCACCTTTCTTCCTAGCCTCCTGGGAGCACCAAGTAGTAGTATGGGGCTCTGGGTCCAAGCTCCAGCTCTGAGACTCACTGGCCATGTGTCCCCAGGGCTGTGCCTGCCCATCCCCCTATCAGCTCTCCCCTCGCCTCCCACAGCAGTTTTGCACGTGGGTTTACACATGCTTTAACTCAGCAGCTGTCTCCAGGCCAGAGGACATTGTCTTGGTCTATAGGTGAGGGGACTGAGGCTCAGAGAGGGCTGGGACTTGCCCTTGGTTATCCAACAAGACACTGATAGAGCCAGGCCTGGAGTCCAAGACTGTGTCCATTGTACCTGGAGCTGGCCCCACCTGAACTGCTCGTACTCCAGCAAGACACAGGGCCCGCGGCCCTGCTGCCACTCGCCCCCGAGGTCCCAGCGACCGAAGCGGCGGATGTCCACGAAGCAGAGGGCAAGCCCGGGGCCAGGTGAAACTGTGTAGAAGCGCAGGTGGGCATGGGGTGGCAGCGCATCACTGGGCGCCAGCTGGAAGGAGCCAGACATGCCAAAGCGGAAGACAAGGGCCAGTGGCTCCTGTGGGGGCTGGGCCCCAGGCAGGGGGCTCAGGGTCAGACGCAGCTCCTTGCCACGGGCTGTGGCTGAGATGCTGTAGGCACTGCTCTCAAAGGGCACTTCAGGGTTCCGGCTGACAGATGACTTCTCCACACGCCCACCAAACACCAGCTCCCTGCATGCCTCGTTCACAAAGAGGCTGGCCAGGTGCAGCTCAGGGCCCTCAGGCATCCTGTATGAGGGGTGACTGGGCCCTGTGGGGAAAGCGGGCAGCAGGTTGGGCCAGGTGTGCCCCTGTGAGGTAGAAATTATCCCCATTTTACAGAGAAGCTTAAGGGTCAGGCCTGGCCACAGCCCCTGGTCCCCATTTGAAAGTGTTGGGGAAGTCCTGGGCTGAGGGGAGCTCAATCCCACAAGCTCTCACTGTTTCTAGAATAAAGCCCAAATCCTTACCAGCCCCACCTCCAACAGCTCATTTCCTCACTGGCTCCAGGCACCCTGCTCTTGGTCACATCTCCACACCTTTGCCCTGCAGTTTCCTCAGGCTGGAACAATTTCCTCAGCTCAATAAAGTCACCTTGAGAGTGGCCTCCCCGACACCCTATCCAAGGTAACCCCTAACACACTCCCACACACATTTTCTTTTCTTGGGGTCACTTTCCACAATCTGAAATTGTACTGTGTATTGCCTGCCTGTCCCGCCCCTGAGCCTAAGCTCTGCTTGCCGCTGACGCCCACCGCTTAGGCGTCTGCTGACCCCATGAAGTGAAGGAACCCAACCCTGTTATGTCTGCGCGATAGGGAACTGGCGTCCAGCTGGGCAGCGACCACCACCCTCCGGCAGGAGCGAGGGCATGAAGGTTTCTCCAGAAACCTCTGCGCTCCAGCCAGGTTCACACAGCGCCGAGTGAGGAGGTGAGGGCGCCAGTAAGGAAAGCCTCCCGAGCTCGGAGCAGGGTCCACGGAGGAATCTGACACTCCCACGTTGGCGCCTCGGTCCACTTCTACCCTCGCCCTCTCGACCTGGCTGAGGGAGGGGAGTCTGCCACGTTTCTCTTCCCCCAGGGCGTTTCGGGATCGAAGCTGGTGTGTGTCGGGTGGATAGGGGCATTTAATCGGGACAGACTTCTTTACCGCCCCTCCCCCCACCTCAGCTCCGCCCAGGGCCTGGCACCCGAAAGGTTTCGTTTTGCGGGAAAAGGTGAACTTCTAGATTCCTAGTTTTTGCAAGGCTTGAACGCTCTATGCTTGCTTCATCCCCCTCCACCCCACGCTGCGACTCTACCTGTGTTGAGTCCTGTCTCCCTTCCTCCCCTAAATCCCCAGCTCGTCCCAGCTCAGCTGCACACATCCCCCACCCCACGGGATTACCAACCCCGGTACCTGCGCTCTGCGCCTCTCCCAGCCAATCTGCAGCCACTAAGGGGTTAATACCAGGGGCGGAGCCGTGCCTAAGAGCATGATGGGGGCTGTGGTCGCTGCTCCAGCGCCTGCTGGGAAGTGTAGTTCTCCAGAGAGGTAGCAGAGACCGAGGCGGCTTGGGTTGGGCTGCCCGGGACGTGACGAAGACTTTGGGGCAGTCACCCGGCTGGGAGGTGGCGGAGGAGTCTAGCTTCCCGCTTCCCAGAGCGGGCGGGGTCTAGGGTCAATCCGAGGTTCCGGGTTGCAGCTGTCTCTGCGGTTGGGGGAAATCACCGGCTGATGCGGGACCAGGTGGGCACCTCCAGCAGGAAAACAACAGCAACGTCCCGATGCCGAGGCACCTGCAGCTGGGCGCGCGCAGGTGGTGATAAACGCGGGCGCTGGGGACTTCCTGGTGGCCCTAAGTATCACCGCAATAAGACGGCACATCGCCACCGCCTGCCGAGTGAGAAGTGCAGCCAAGCAACAAAAACCAGAGGCCCAGGAGAACCGACTTCAGACGTTCAGTGGGGGAAGGTCTCTCTGCGGTGACATTTAGACCAGAACTCGAAAAGGAGCAAGCAGCAGAGTAGGGGCAAGCAATATGCCAGGCAGAAAGAACGTCCGTGCAAAACCCCGGAATGGGGTAAGAGATTGACCGGCCGAAGACCCGTGCGGCTGGAGTGTAGCTTGGGAGCAGTGCCATGGTGAGCCAGAATAGCCAGCAGGATCCAGGGGCAGTCGGAAAGCGCCTCGGAGGCCTCTGTAAGGAGTTGGCGCTGTATTCTGAGTGTGCTGGGGCATGTAGCAGGCACTCTCATAGAAATGATCTGCCCCCCTACCTACTACTTCTGCTCCCTGCCAATCCATTTATTCATTTTGGCAGAAATAATTTAAATTAGACAAATTATGACACTTCATCCCTAAACACTTTAGTACGCATCTCTAAAAAACAATTTCCTACAAACCCACAATACCTTTATCATACCTAGTGAAGTTAACAATAATTTCTTAATATCATCTAATACTTGGTTCACATTCAAATTTCCCAACTGTCACCAAACTTCTTCTACAGCTTGTTTATTCAGGGTAGGTTCTAATGTAGGATTATGTTTCTTTAATCATTTTAATCTAGATGGAACCACCCCACCTCCCACCTTTTTTTTTTTTTTTTTTGTCTTTCAGGATACTGACATTTCTGAAGATTAAAGAGACTTAATCCTCGGTTAGACTCGGACATGGTGTCAGAGGAGGCCTGCTGAAAGAGTAGATTTAAATAAGATCCAGAGTCTCATAATACCCAAAACATCCAGGATTCAATATAAAAAACACTCATTAAAAAGTACATTTAACACAATACTAGGGAGGTCTTGGTCAATACAGCCTGACCAAGGCAAAGTCATAGATGCTTCATAGATACATCCAAACTCCCTGAGGGACCGAGTTACTGGGCTGAGGGCTGGGGACCATGGTCTCCCGGGACATCTACCTCAACTAGCATAACAAAGTTTATAAAGAAAATGTTCTACATCCTACTTTGTTGAGTAGCATCTGGGGTCTTAAAAGTTTGTGAGTGGCCATCTAAGATGTATCTACTGGATGGAGCAAAGCAGTGTGAAGAAAACCAAAGACACAAGGGAAAGATTAGTCCAAAGGACTAACGGACCACAACTACCACGGCCTCCACCAGACTGAGTGCAGAACAAGTGGATGATGCCCAGCTACCACCAACAACTACTCTGGCAGGGACCACAGTAGAGGGTCCTGGACAGAGCAGGAGAAAAACATAGAACAAAATTCAAACCCACAAAAAAAAAAGACCAGACTTACTGGTCTGACAAGAGACTGGAAAAACCCCGAGAGTATGGCCCTGACACCCTTTTAACTCAGTACTGATGAAGTTCTCCCTTCAGCCAGAGACTGGACAGGCCTATGAAACAAACAGTAACACACGTAGTTCACCCACGTATACAAGATTAAATGGGCATACCACCCCAGGATCAAGGACGAGGGAGCAGGAAGGCACAGGAGGGCTGGATGAATGGAAATGGGGAACCCGAGGTCGAGAAGGGGAGTGTTGACACATCGCAGGGTTGGCAGCCAATGTCACAAAACAACTTGTGTATCGTTTAATGAGAAATTGATTTGCTCTGTAGACTTTCACCTAAAGCACAATTTAAAAAAAAAATACATCTATGCATCTTTCTAAAGGCAGAAGTCAGGAGTTGAGCCAGTCCTTATCTTTTTTGATGCTCAAATTGTCTCATCTTTGGCCAGTGGGACAAGCTGGCTCTTCTGGCATGACCCATTATTCTCTGATGGCTTTCTCACACCAGACGTTCCAGGCTCATCTTGTACTCTCCCTGTCCCAACCCTGGAGTCAGCCTTTTCTACAAGAAGCCCAGGTTGGCCTGAGCTACTCCCGGGAGCTCTGAATCACGATCAGTACAACAGACCTTCCTTTTTCTGAGCATTTTAAATCATTTGGCAGTGAAGTAAAAATTGTAACAGTCACATGTGATTCTCAATGTGCATGGAAGAAATATTCAAGACTATTTATAAACGGAACCAGTGTCACTGAATAATTTATGTAGAAATTATTCAATGGGAACCTATTTTGCTGCGTAAACTTTCAATAAAAATATAAAATATTATTTAAAAAAAATAAAGAGTATTATAAATGGAAGGAGCCCTGGTGGTGCAACGGTTAAGTGCCTGGCTGCTAACCGAAAGGCTGATGGTTAGAATCCACCCAGCCGCTCTGCGGGAGAAACACCTGGCAATCTGCTCCGAATTACAGCCAAGAATCATTCTCACAATCAGGGCAATAATCCTGACCTGGGCTTGGTGCTCACAGAGCAGGTGCTCAATAAACTGGAGGTACCCTGCCACATGGGATCACTAGGAGTCGAAAACCAACACAACAATATTATAAATGGGGGAGATGGTAAAGGGTTCAGGCACGGGCCCTCCTTCCTTCGTAAAGATGCAGGAGAGAAGGGCTCTCTCCTTTTTGTACATGGGGCATCTGGCATTGGGGCCGCTGGCTTGCTGCCAGCCTGAGGCCAGCACAGGGAGCACAGAGCCAAGAGCATCACTGGGCTGTGGAGCTAGAACCTTGATTTTCCTATCTATGGACAAGCTTTTCCTTTTGGTCCTCAGTTCGCCTCACCAGCAGCTGAGAGGAGAAAATGAGTGATAGGCCAGGAGGTCCTTATGTCACTTGCTCTCTCACAAAAACCCAGAAAGAAACCCAAGCACACGCTCCTTTACGCTTCTGTTTATTCTTCCTGACTCATGGAAACAGTTGACAAGTGCCTCTGATGGGGAGGAAAAGCAATGATGGAAAAAGGGCCTTAGAATCCCTATGCTGAATTGTCAAGTGAGGACCTCGGAAGCCAGGGACCCTGGAGGCCAGGTACCCAGTGTCCTGAGGCCACTCCCCGAAGAGAAGTTCAGAGCGCAGCCACTTGACACGGGCTGGGCAGCTCTGCATGGGCCCTGAACACCGTTCTCCTCAGCCCAGGGAGCTCATCAGGGTCTGGGCCTGCTTCAGTTCTGCAAAGGGAAGAGGCAGGCATGGAGGCAGGCAGTCAGGCGGGAGCTAGGAGGGTCCTCTCACTCCTCCAGGTCTGGCTGAGTCTCACCTGCCAGGAGGACCTGGAACTTTTCTGCTGAGAGGGACATGGTGACAGGCTGGGCCTTGGCACCCGAGGCAGGTGCCACCTCCAGCCGCAGGTGCACCATGGGCTCCTCCACGGACCGCAGCAGGCTGGAGCTCAGTGTGTAGTCCACCCGCCAGCTCACGCCTGCCAGCCTGTTCACTGCAAGACGGTGTGGAGAGGCTCTCAGGATCCGGGCAACCCTCAACCCTTCAAGGCAGTGTGGCCTTTGAAAAGCTCTCCTCCGTCTGAGCCTGCCTCCTCGTTCTCACAATCAGGGCAATCATCCTGACCTGGGCTTGGTGCTGACAGGGCAAGTGCTCCCTAAACAGGAGCTCAGGTGATCCACAGCAGGTTTCAGAGGAATGAAACCTGGGCTGGGGTCGGAGACCCAGGGGTGGGCCCGGCTCTGCGACTGCTTGACGTGACCATGGCTAGGTCTCCCTCTGAGGGCTGGCACCTTGCATGCTGCATGCACCTTCTAGAATGGACCCCAGGCCCCACCCTGGCCCACCCCACACTCACCGCGCAGGCTGCAGGCTCGCAGGTGCTCCTGCAGGGGGCTCTGCTTCTCCTCATAGCAACGACAGAGGCTGGCCGCATGCTCTGGGGCAGAATGAAGGGCCCTTAAGGTACAGGGAGGGGCTGGGCTGGGCTGCTCAGTGGGCAGGTCTCAGGCTCCTGGCCCAGACAGGGTGGTGCCCTTCTCAGGGTCACACAGCCTGGCCAGCTGTTCAGCAGCCCTTGGCCCCCAGGTTACCCACCTGCCCGCCAAGTCCCTGTACCTTTGGGCAGCCCCAGCTGCTGCAGTTCACTGGACAAGGACTCGCCATCCACGCTATGCTTGGCCGCACTGGAGAGGATAAAACTCAGCACCGCCACCGTGGCCTTGACATCACCTGACTCTGGGGGGACCCGCGGGTGGGGTGGGAGTGTCACTGTGGCCCCAGCTGCTTCCCTGTTGCCCCACCATCTTCAGCTCAAAGCCCCAGGCCTCCTCAAACCACAGCCACTGCCGCTGCTCCCCAGGAGCTGTTAGAGGGCACTGAGGGTGGGACTGTCAATGCCTTTCTTCCCCTCACGCTTCTCCGCTACCGCATGTGGTCAGGGAAGGCTGCTGGGAGGAGAGGGCCTCTGTGCCAGGCACCAGGCAGAGTCCTAGGGTTACCCAAAGCCCTGTGGACTCAGTAGGGTACTCACCAAACTTGGCATCGGCTGTGAGCTTCAGGATCTTCTCATACTATGGGGAAAGGAGGCCCTCAGGGTCTGACCCCTCCTCACCAGACCCTCGCCTCCCCCCAGCCCGGCCTGGATCCCCTGTAGGGAACAGGCTGGGGCTAGAGAGAAGGATGGGAGATATCCAGGGAGGTCTGGAGGCTGCACCACCCACCTCCCTGGGCCTGGTACAGAGTTTCAAGGGGGGGTCCTAAGGGCATGCTGGTCCCTGTACTCACATCAATCCCCTGTCCCAAAAGCTCCCTC